GAAAACATTTATATCTATTTTGGGGGTCAGCTCCCTAACACAGTGGTTAAGCACTGTGTGGAGGGAGCTGAATCCTAGATGGTAGGTTGACCACAGTTTAAACTTTGGCCTCTGTAGCTTGAAAATCACACCAGGCACCTAAGCTTGCATATGCCAAATCCTGATGGGACAGTAAAATGAAGGAAAAGGATTGCAGCATGACCACATCTCAGTAGAAGGGTCTTTCTCTCTCAAGCACATGTGACTCTGACAATTAAAAAAAAAAAAAACCTACAATTACCATGCTGTGAAAAAAAGATCTTGACAATTTATAACTTAACTGACACTTTGTATCCTTTGGTCAACATCTCCTCCTACTCTCTGTCTCTGGTAGCCACCATTCTACTTTCTACTTCTATAAATTGGACTTGTAGAGTCCACATATAAGTGAAATCATGTTGTTTGTCTTTCAGTGCCTAACTTACTTCACTTAGCATAATGTCCTCCAGGTTCATCCACACTGTTGCAAATCACAAGATTTCCTTCTATTTTAAGGCTGTATGGTATTCCATTCTGCATACTGTATATTCTTTATCCATTCATCCACTGACAAACACTAAGATTGATTCTGTGTTTTGGCTATTCTGAATAACATTGCAACGAATACAGAAGTGCAGACACCTCAAAATACTGAGGTCAATTCTTTTGGTTATAAAGACACTCTTTAACTTAAAATAGTTACATCCAAATAAACTCATCATTAGTGAAAATATCATTAAGTTATAAATGGGTACTTTGTAGGATACTGAAACACAGAATACAATATCAAAAAAGTGCAGCAACACAGTACACTATACAACTCTGTAACTGGGAGCTGCAGCTGCCCAGTACTGCAAGAGTGTCATAAGGCATATCCCTAACCTAGGGAAAAAAATCAATACCCAAAGTATGTTTCTAACAAATGTGCATTGCCTTCCCACCATCATAAAGTCAAAAAATCTTGGGTTGAGGGGCCAGCAGGTGGCATGATGGTTAAAGTCGCTGGACTCCCACATGGCAGAACATGGTTCTGGCCTGAGGCCTGATGGCTTCCTTTCTCACTTTCCCTCTCTGTCTGTCTGTCTGTCTCTCAGGTCAAACTGAAAAATAATAATAAATTTAAAATGAAACAATTAAATATATATATATTTATATATATATATATATATATATATATATATATG